AGCATATGCCTAGCCTAATTTTTTTTGCTTCGAAGTTTTCGAATGGGAGGGGGGCGCCTGGGGGGGGGGTCCCAAGTTCCAACTCGTGACTCATTCAAAAATCAAATAACATATATTTAAACTTGAATTTATACGTTTCTTTATTTAGACATTTGAGGATATATACCTGGAAGGCAAGAAGACACTTGAAAATGTTCTAGATATTTTAAACTACGTGTTTATTGTCATTTTCACACTCGAAATGTTCATGAAATGGGTTGGTCTAGGATTCAAGAAATATTTTTCAAGTTTTTGGTGCTGGCTTGATTTTATAATCGTTATTGTAAGCATTTGTTTATACAGTGTTTATTATAGTTCAACGCTTTTAAAAATTGTATTGTTCTACTGCCGATATGTATAGTTCAAAGATAGGCTTTGATTGTATATTTAATATAGATTTCTATTAAAAATTTAACTAAGCAAATATTTATCTCGACGATTTCAAACCGAATAAATTACAATAATACATTTCTAAAATATTCTTCTTATTGATTTAGATTTCTGTGCTAAGTTTGTTGGCTGATGTTGTTGGTTTGGGAAATTTGACCGCTTTTAGATCACTCCGAACTTTGAGGGCGTTAAGACCACTTCGAGCTATATCAAGGTGGCAGGGAATGAAGGTAAAAACTGATACAGTATATACATCATCATCCATTTTATTTTACAATAAAAAAAATTGTATTTATCTTTAAGAATATAAATATAATGATACAAGGATTGAAAAAAAAAATTAATAACAATAAACTTAATTTTTAACCATATTCTTTTTATTTTTAAATAAGAGTGACGCACTTAATTACCGCAAATATGCCTATTAATGACAACTGCAGTTCACATTCACTTTTAAGATATTGACAATTGTCATTTTTTGATTCATTACATTTTATTGCAGATCGTAGTAAATGCGCTGGCGCACGCGATCCCATCTATTGTCAATGTTCTTCTCGTCTGTATTGTATTTTGGCTCATCTTCAGTATCGTCGGAGTTCAGTTTTTCGGTGGTAGATTCTACAAATGCATAGATAATGATGGAGAAATTCTTCCAATTGATATTGTCGACAACAAAACAGAATGCCTTTATAAAAACTATACATGGACAAATTCAAATATCAATTTTGATACAGTAATCAACGGATTTGTCGCGCTTTTCCAAGTGGTGAGTAGTTTAAATTAAATAGTTAAATAGTTTGTTGACATCGAATTCGTTTGACAACATCAACACCAACAATAACAATAGCGATGACAACGATAACGATAACAGCGTCAACAGCAATGACAAAGGTAAATATTTGTGATAATGACGTTGACGGCAATGATGATTAAATAACGATTACGATTATGAAGATGGCGTCGACAAGGACGAGGACGATGATTGCAACGATAACAACAATGTTTACTTATCACCAAAGTTATTCAATATAGAGCAGTGGCGTAACGAAGAGGTCTAAGGCCCTGGCTAAGAAATCTGCGGAGCCGGCCATACTATCATGGCGGGAACACTTCGCCGCTTCGGCGTATTTAACGTTTTGAAGAAGTATTCTGATGTTTCTCACACTTTAGTGCTCCTTAAAAAGGCCCCACTCGGCCAATATATGTGGCAAAAATGCTGATAGATATCCCGAGGTCCTTTAATACCTGGGTTTCTCAGCCAGTGAGAGTTCGTAGCTGTTACGACACTGATATAGAGATTTTAAGGATTTAGGCCTAAATAATATTGTGTTTGATTCCAAAGGCTACGTTTGAAGGTTGGATGGAAGTCATGCAGGCGAGTGTGGACGCTAGAGGGGTAAATAATTGTGTAACATTATCTACCAAACTTTGTGGAATCACAAAATATTAAAAAAGTACCGTAACTCTACCTATAAATACGCACAACAAATTATTACAGAAAATACTAATGTGGATGTTGTTCTTTATTTACGGAAGGCTTCCAATTGAAAAGTAACAACGAATTCTTAAGATGACGATGATATGCATAATTATTGAATGGCAGATTTGAAACAAAGTTTATTTATCTATTTATCTGAAGGGAAAAGTAGTCTAAATGGTTCTAATAATCAGTATTCTTTTGATGACGTATGGCCAAATAATGAATATTTATCTGTCAACGCATAATAGAAACATGTATATTCATCCGATGACTTAAACAAATGTAGTATAGAAGATGCAATGAGATAAATAAAACATATTTGACTGATTATACGTCATAGGAATTTAGTACCAATGGTCCTTTTAATTATACATTGTTGACCTTTGTTTGATCATCAGGAATTACAATTTAGTGAAATTAATACGGATGAATTTTGATGTGTATGAAAATGTGTAAGTATGTATGCCTATGTTTTTGTGGTTTTTTCTTCAGATTGACAAACAACCTTCAAGAGAGTCAAATTTTATCGCTTATATATTTTTCGTCATTTTTATCGTGCTTGGCTCATTCCTAACATTAAATCTCTTCATTGGTGTCATCATCGACAATTTCAATAAACTAAAGAAAAAGGTAAAGTACAGTGTTGTACTTTGCCACTAGTAAAGTATTCTAAAAACAACACAGATCAATTTTCTTAAGATCAACACAGGTTTTACAATCGCTAATGTAGAAAACATTAGCTAATGTAGTAACAACCGTTAATGTAGTACACTCCACAGCATATGTAGTAAAACTCCCCGCCAATGTAGAAACCCCAACAGCTTATGTAGTAAAAAGAAAATCAACCCCAGCTAATGTAGAACGCTCAACAGCTAATGCAGTAATGAAAATTGCTTCACAGCTAATGTAACTACTATTGCCAGCTAATGTAGAATATTACAATGTTACAATACCATTGGCTGAAAAACATGCGAGGGACTAAAATCAGGTTGTCTGCACATCTGCACATTAATGGAAAGCATATGGTAAGTAAACCTGTGAGGGCACCTTTTAAAAAATGGCCACCTATCCATATATGATATCGGGTGCTCATCTCGGCAACCACTAATCAGTAAGGCTTAATAATGGTCTCACATTGTTCATGTAGCTTTAGGTAGTTCCCAATTACATTTAACAACTGTTTTTGCAATTTCTGTTATTCTTATTGGTTTCAAATTTAGCAGGCAGTTTATTAGTGTCGGTCAGTCATTCATCAGTAGGTGGATCGGTCAGTCTGTCCGTTAATTGGTCACTATTTTAATTTCTGTTAGTCGTATTGATATCAAATTTTAGCAGGCAGTGAACATCGGTGATGTTATTCGCTTAAAAGCATATAAAAATGAACCAGAAACAATGTAGCCACTAAACAGCCAGATAGAAATGTCTCACCTTCGGACAAAGCAGTGCCCTTCGTCCAAGCAAAATATAAAATATATAGCCATATAAATTATACACAATATGATAAAATGGTAGTGATTTAGTGGGTTATGACGTATATATATATATATATATATAATATATATATATATATATATATATATATATATATTTTATAACATTAAAATAAAAAGAAGGTATAGTATCAAGGCCCGTGTTACTTGTCACATAAATATTTGACATGCTCAGAATCACTTATACAAGCATTGTACGTAAGCTTAGACAAAGCCAAACTCTTATTGTAACCTTGCCAAAAAACGTTAGGTTTCTTCCTTTCCACGTATTGAGCAACCTTTCTAAGCTTATCAACTACCCCAATTTAATTCTTCACATTTTTTATTGTTATATCCCACATATATACCTAGAATCTTAATTGGTTCATCTACCCAATTTAGGCTACATGGTTTTTCATTTTTATTTTTATTTTTTCTGATCCATATGGCGTTTGTTTTGTCTTTGTTTAGACTCATTCCAGATACTTTACCAAAATTACCAACAATATTTAGACCATTCTCAATACTCTTTTCATTTCCGACAAACAGTACAGTGTCATCTACAAGTTGTGCAATATGCAATTCCTCATATTTTCCTTGACTAGGTATTGATATTCCTTTAAAATTTGCACTATTTCTTATATCACACGCCATCATTTCCACGACCAGAATAAATAACAAAGCCGACAGTGGGCAACCCTGTCTCTAATGCCACTCATTTCAAAACTTTCAGATGTACATCCATTATTAACAATGACACACTCTGTCTTATTATAAATTGTATTAATCCATTTATGAAAAGAGTCTCCAAAATGAAATTTTTCTAATACCTTAAATACAAATTCCCTAGACAGAGTCGAAAGCTTTTCTAAAATCAAGGGATAGAATAGCACCTTCCATTTCCTTTTCAGCCGTATAATGAAGAACATCATTAATTAGCCGAACATTTTCCCCAGCAAAGCGCCCTTTAATGTATCCTTTTCGGTCATTGTTAATAACACTTTCAATTACTTCATTAAGTCTTGAACATAAAATTTGTATTAAAGTCTTGTAATCCGTATTTATTAATGTGATAGGACGCCAATTTTCTAATAATTGTTTGTCCCCCTTTTTGTATAATAAATTTATTACACCCGGTTTCTGTGTATGGCTCATTTCATTTTTAAAATAACACTCGTTAATTGCATTACAAACAATTTGTTTAATTTTTTTCCAAAAATAAATGTAAAACTCAACGGTCAGACCGTCACATCCTGGAGCTTTATTTAACTTCATTTTTCGTATGGCTTCATCACATTCTTCTATAGTCATGATACCTTCACATAAACCCTTTTCTTCCTCAGATAAACTGTTTACTTTTATTTTATAGGTGTTGATTTTCTTAAGGGATATCCCCTTATTTGTATATAGATGTTTATAGAATTTGACTTCCTCTCGTAGAATTTCATCTGTGTCTGTTAACACAGCACCATCTGAGTTTTTTCTACTTTTGATATGTTTTTTCGTTCCGTTATTTTTTTCTAAACTGAGAAAGTATTTAGTGTTACGTTCGCCTTCTTCCATCCATTTTATTCTTGAACGTATGTATGCACCTTTTGTTTCATTTTCATAAATATTTTCCAGTATTTTTGTTTTTTCTTCAAATTCTTCCTCAATGCTTTCATTGGAATTACTTTGTTTACAAGTGAATCATTTAGCTGTTTAATTTGGTTTTGTAGTTTCACTTTTTCTTTGTTTTTTTCATTATTTTTTTTAATTATTTTTGCCATAAAAAATAGAAAGGTCTTTAACTCTGACTTTTATTAATTCCCAGAGTAAATCTGGGCCGAGAGTTTTAATAATATATTTTCTAATAGCACTTTGGTAATCAGTGTTGACTAATAAGTTATTATTATATTTCCAATATCCTGGACCCCTTTTAGAATTATCAAACCCAATTTTAATTGAGATTGCCTGATGATCAGTCAGGATGACTGGCCTTATATCACATGATACAACTTCATTGTAGCCACAAATGTTTTTTGAAATCAACCAGTAGGCAAGTCTTCTATAAATTTGGCTACATTTCCTACGCCAGGTAAACTGAGTTTGTGAGGATTTTTATCTCTCCAGGCATCATTTAGCGTGAGTTTTTTTTTTTCATAAAATTTTAAAGTACGAAGACAAAGGCGTCTTTTCTGTCTCAACTATTCTTTGATCCCATTTCCTATCGAGGATACAATTTAAATCCCCACCGTTGATAATTATATTACTATTTAAATCCACCATATTTGAAATAGTCTTATTTAGCTCTCTGAAATATGTGCTTCTCACTTTACAATTGTTAGGAGAATTTGCATTTACAAGAACATATATTTTACCATTGATTTCAACTTTTAGCATAATGTATCTTTTATTTTTGTCAATACATTCATTTATTTTTTAAAATTTTAAATCTTTTAAAAATAAAATTGATACTCCCGCACTATTTGAATATCCAGTGCTATACGTACAAATACCATTCCATAATAAATGAAGTTTATTGAATAATTCTGGTGTATGATGTGTCTCTCTGTAAATATATGACATCAGCTTTCTGATCTTTACACCACTTCAGTATCTGTCTTTGTTTATTTATGTTACGTACACCTCTTACGTTTAAGGAAACGAAATGAATATTGGCGTTAGTCATACGGTCGGATATGATTTTTTTAAATTTTTTTTTATACAGATTGCATTAATCGTTGTCGTACGTATATATCGTAAGGCCAACTTTAGTGACACAACTAATTAATGAACCTGGCAATAGGTCACATATACATACAAACACATAAATACATGCATCTATATATGAAGATATCCATAATAACGAAAAGGACAATGATAGCAATAATTGCAGTATATTAAAAATTATGACAAAGACGTCATCTTTGGGGCAACTGCTAGTGAAATTGCGCATTGTATTGTATTGGTAATGATAATAATAACGATTATTTTACAATGGTGAATTCATCACTTTAGGCATAGGGTACGCAATCGAGCGTTTTTTGTTTGTTTATTTGTTGTCTTTTTACAATTTATTTGGTTTTTCTATTTTTCGTACTTTTGCTTGATTTTCGTCATCTTTCCGTTCCAGGCATTGTTGGGGAGATTTTCTCTGACTCAAATTGGTCTTTTGATTCATTCTTGTTGTTTTCTTTCTCTTTCACTTGCTTATTAGACCAAGATGAGGATTTCATGAAGCTAGTTATCTTCCCTTGTTTCTGTTGGTTTTCATTTATTGGTTCACATTGCTTTTGATCGCCTTCTTCACTCTCCTCGCTTACGCTTGATGTCCATTCGTCTTCACTAGTGACCACGCTCTTTTCCTCTACTACACGTTCCCACATCTCTTGAATGAGCTTTTCGCTAGAGTCATCTTGCAACAGTTTTTCTGCGCTGCATTGGTCCCTTCGATGATCTTCTAATCCAAAGGCATGGCAAACGAGGTGGTCTGTACATGTTTTAGCCTCATTATTTCCGTACTTTAATTCGAGCACTTCACCCTCTCATCTACTTGCCCAATGTGAAAAATTCTGGTTTTGAAGTTTAAGACATTTACAAACCTTGGTAATGGTGTTTTAAGGATCTCCGCGTTAAGCACCCGATCTCCATTCAGGCAACTTGTCAATAGCCCAACGACTCTCAGCCTCATACGTTGTACGGTCCCCGTTGTTTTACAGTTAAATCGCAAAAGAGATGTTTTAATTTCTTCGTCTGCTACTGATAGTGGTAGGTCTTTCACAACAATACTGGTAGCATCCGTATCGTACGGTAGGTATGGGTTCCTATCATATAATTGTCATATTCCTTCCTCGGATATACGCCAGTTGTTATTAGGCAAACGCTGTCTTGATGTGAGTCTATATAAAGTCTCCATAAATTCTTAATGCGCTGTACACCTGTTATATTTCGGCATTCAACTGTTTTCGTTGATACTTTATATATATATCCTGAGGTTCCACATACGAATCTCCTGTTGTGTTCACCTCATCAACCTTCATGAACACTGGTTTCACCTTATTAGCAACGTCACGGGTACCCGCGTCTGGGGTCACATGATCTTTAGGCGGGACGTTTGAGCTGTCAATCGTTGTCATTTTTGAAGTAGAGAATTCGTACAATTTTTCACAAGAAACTGAAATACATTTTACCTTGATTTTCCTTGAGAATACTAAATACTTTGTATAATTTTTCACTGTAAATTTTCAATCGTAATCCAAGATTTTATTGAAAATTTTGCGAAGCTGATAAACAGAACGTCTCCTTAGAGAAAGTGTATACCGCCCTCTCTCTCTCATAATAATTCATTGGCGGATCTTGGAAAAAAAAAATCAGAAAAAAAAGAAGAAAAGTCTAGACCTACCCTTTCAGGACCCATGAGCTGAATTTCTTTGTTAACAATGGAAAAATTAGAAGTCGGGAAAACTCATTTCCCGCCATCTAGGAAACAAAATTTTCCCGGGGGAGGACCCGGATACTCTTCTTTTTGGGGTTTTTATGAAAAAATGTGACCCCCCCTCCCTACCAAAATGTGAACCCAAATCCGCCCCTGTAATTTAAAGGACGTAATAATTCAAAGCTAGTAACCTCGATTATAAGCTCCTTTCATATAAGATGTTATACTATATTCTACATTAGCTGGCGATAGTAGTTACAATAGTTGTGAGGCAATTTTAGTTACTACATTAGCTGTTCAGCGTTCTACAACTAGGGTTGATTTTCTCTTTACTACATAAGCTGTTGAGGTTTCTACATTAGCGGGGAGTTTCACTACATAAGCTGTGGAGTGTGCTACATTAACGGTTGTTACTACATTAGCGGTTGTAACAACAGGCTTAGATACAACAAAAAGAAATTTATTAAATGTTTATATAGTTGAATAGTTTAAATGATAACCAAAACATCGTCGAAAATATATGGTAATATTCCAATGCTCATAATTTCAATTGGATATTGTTGTAATTGGAATTAATTTGAATAAAATATAGCTTACTTTACTAGCTTTCGTTGCTATCTCAGAAACTTCTTTAGGGAAACTGATGTATTTACACAGATCCACTTGTCACATGATCCGAGTTTATCCAGTGGTGGCGCTAGGATTTGCCCGACGGGTGTCCGAGGTACCCGACGGGGGGTGGGAGCTGATGTCCCAGACGAAAAAAGTTGGCTGGTCGGGCGTCACTCAAAATCTCTCGAAACTGTTCCACGGGAGCGAAAGCCCGGAAAAATATGACAATTTAAGGGTTTCAAATGCCTATTTAATCGATTTTGGAGTCTACTAATATGTAGAAAACATATAGGCCTACATTTTTGTTTTACTCTCCAACGAATTGTGTTTTTGCCCTGCCCCCAATCAATCACTGACTGAATTCGGGCACTACCATAAGTCTTTGAAACGAATTTCTGTTTTTTTTTTTTTAAATTCTTGTAAATACACTTTAGCTTTATCATTTCTTGCTTTCACTCTGTTTTATCTGTGTGTGATTTTTGTTTCCTCTTACTTCATAACTTAACATTGTCATGACAACAACCTATGTTAGCTCACAAAGCCCGATAAAGTCATATTGATTGACTGAAGTTATTTTCGTAAATCAACATAGGCCTAATCGTGATTGATTTTATATTGTTTTTATTATATTATAATATTATATAAATATATTTGTATTCAAAACTTTTAAATTTTCTATCTGTGTATTAATAATAGTATGAAGGAGACAATACCCTCGACATGTTTTTGACGAATAATCAGAAAAATTATTATTCGACGATGCGTCGAATAGGAATCCGCAAGCCAAAGAAACAGTTAAAGAAACCTACGGTAAGCCATCAATATCTATATTATGTGAGCGTACTGTGTAAATGTTGCTCATGACCTTTTTTGATAACATCTAGGCATAGCAATGTGGTAACATCCACAAAACTTCATAGGCCTGCAAGTGAACAAATGTTAAAATGCGTTTGGCCAACTGTAAATAGTTGGGTCTTTATAAGGGTGAGTTTTCAGTAGTTTTCAGTGATTGGAGATTGGGGAAATACATCTAGTTAAACCCTTTACTGGTGCATCAACAAAAAGCTCGTAATTTTCCGCAGACAGAGAGGAATTAATTAAGTCTTGGAAATACGCCAATCAATGAGGATTGGCTGTAGTTCTTAATGATTTGAAAGTATTTTAATTTCACCTGAAGAAACTAGCTTGAGCTAGAGAAAGCTTGTGTCTTCAAAATAAAAAATATTTAATCAAAACAAAGTGCTAACTGTTTTATTTGTGCTATTCCATTGTGCTTCGTGTTACACAATATGCAGTCTAATGTAATTAAACCCAAGTGTAGGTTATATTTTACAATCTATTAATGAAATCTAAATGAACCTGCCGATCATAGTAGTGAGTTTCAGTTCAGTTGCAACTCATTTGTATAACATTTTTGTTATACAATATGTAGTTTGTACGATCCTTTCTCTAGTTAAAAAAAGTTACAATACTTCTCTTGAATTTCGAAAAACAACTTTATTGTGAGCATGGTAGTAGATTAAATAGATACGGTATTTAACGGCAACATTTTAGAAACAATGTAGTGATATTCTTTTAGCCTAAAATTATTTCTCCTAGATGTTTCCATAGGTTATATTTTTTCCCAACTTACTGTATTCAATATTGACACTTCAGATTGGAGAGTCGACTTATTTGTCTTTTCTGTCGTTTTTATAGGCCTAAAACTGTTTATGAAAACTGGAATGTTTAGCGCTGGCCATCGCACCAAACTTTTCAATTTACATAATATCCAGTACTCGAAATGGACACTCGACTTGCATGCTTGCATGAAACCTGTACATTGATTAGTTGTGCATGTTAATTTGAAGAAATGTTACATTATAACTAAATTTGATGTTAATAATTGTGTATGCACTTGGTAATAACGGTGCTCTCCTCCCAGTCATGATAATGGGTTCAAATATATGCAGAGTACCACAATTTAAAGCTTCAAAACAACTCCGATCTTGACCACGGACTTCGAGGGTTCCATATTGAGCAATGTCAGCTCTCCTTAAGACCTGTCATGACTATCAAATTCTATTTGAAAAAAAAAACATGTGACATGCCTAAATATGGTCATGATGACATAAAATGATATATAGGCATCACTAGATATGGGCATACAACAGTTTTTTGTCAAATAAATTTTGATAGTGTGGACAGCGCTTTAAAGCTAGGCTCCGGAGGAAAAACAGCTTTGATATGTTGACAACTGATTGTTCTAAGACATAAAACTCGGAACGGTAATTGAGATACACATTTTTGAATGTTTAAAAACGGGGGGGGGGGGGGGGGGGAGATTGCCTAACCATCTTTTTTCCCCGATTTTTCCCCAGTATTCAATAGATATTCAAAAATCTGTATCTCACTAACCGTTAGGCCTATCTAGTTATCGTCACCCACTTTGATTTTGTGTTTTAGAAGAATTAGTTGTACAACATATCAATGTTGCCCTCAGGAGCATGGCTTTAATGTTTTATATATTTGTCTGATCTTTTAACAATAATATATATTGTAATTAATTAATTTTATTTAATTTAAAAATCTATAAATAAATAAAAAATACAAACCATTTAGCTATTACTAAATGGCTATGTGACTAAACATAATCTGTTAGAGATCGTTTACATGTGACAATTTATAGTATAAAACTATCTACAACTAATTATTATTTCAACAGAATCGAATACAAATTTACATGTATGAATTGACAACAAGCACCCGGTTTGAGATAGCTATCGTTTGTATCATCTTCTTGAACATGATTGCGATGATGATAGAACATTACCAGCAAGCCCAGAAGATCACTGACGTTCTGCAAATTTTAAATGTCATTTTCACAATCATTTTTACGATTGAGGCAACGATGAAACTCATCGGATTGCGTTGGCATTATTTTAAAGTTCCTTGGAACGCGTTTGACTTTATTGTTGTCACACTATCTATCATAGGTGCGTGGAATTTTTAATTATGTATTTAAATTATTACGGTAGTCCATAATTTATTTTATATAAATTAATAAGTTTGCTTTACTTACATACCGATTGTGTAATATGTGTGCTACTATCTTGATGTAGCAACTACATATAAATTCTACCATGTTTTCATAATCAGCTTAAATATGATTTGACTGCATATTTAAGTTGAAATACTTGAATCGAAATATTTATCGACTCTATCGAAACAATATATATCTTTTAAATTATAACGATATAACACCATGACCATATATAGGCACATCATCACTAGATATGGGCATACAACAGTTTTTAGTCAAATAAAATTTGGTAGTGTGGACAGAGCTTTAAAGCTAGGCTCCGGAGGAAAAACAGTTTTGATATGTGGACAACTGATTTTTCTAAGACATAAAACCGATGCTTGACGAAAACTTGGAACGGTAAATGAGATACAGATTTTTGAAAGTTTGAAAACGGGGGGAGGGGGGAGGGAAGTTCTCTTAACCATCTTTCTTTTTCAATTTTTCCCCAGTATTCAATAAATATTCAAAAATCTGAACGTTATCTAGTTATTCGTTACACACCTTTTTTTGTGTTTTAGAAATATTTATTGACTCTATCCAAACGGTATAAATCTCTTAAATTATTTTATAATTTCATTTCAATTCTAGGAATCTTACTAAGTGACGTTCTGTCAGGCACTATTATCAACCCGACGTTGCTTCGAGTTCTACGACTGTTTCGAATTGGTAGAGTGTTGAGACTAATCAAAGCCGCCAAAGGAATTCGAAAATTACTTTTTGCTCTGGTTATCTCCATGCCTGCTTTATTCAACATTGGAGCATTATTATTCCTTATTATATTTATATACTCTATCATCGGTATGGTACAGTTTAGTCGGGTAAAGCACGATGGGGCACTGGACGACGTGGTGAACTTTGAGACGTGGCCAAACAGTCTGCTGTTGCTATTTCGAGTAGCGACATCTGCCGGCTGGAACGACGTTTTAGAGCCTTTGCTCACTTCACCACCAGATTGTGATCCCGATTACGGTGGCTATCCAAACGGAAACTGCGGAAGCAAAACATTTGCTATTTTATACTTCATGTCGTTCCTAATTATTACATATCTTGTGGTTATTAATATGTATATTGCCATTATACTCGAAAACTTCAGTCAAGCTCATGCACAAGAAGAAGTCGGAATTACAGAAGACGACTTCGTCATGTTTTACCAAATTTGGGAAAAGTTCGATCCCTTAGCAACTCAATTCATTGCATATGAAAATTTGTCTGACTTCTGTAATGAACTTGGTCCTCCGCTGAGGCTTACAAAGCCAAACAATATAAAAATTGCGGGTCTCGATTTGCCGATCTACGACGACACGAAATTACATTGCTTGGACGTATTGTACGCGTTGACAAAGCGTGTACTTGGTTCAATTGAGGAAACAGAAGAATTTAATCAACTACAGAAACAGATGCAAGAGCGGTTTAATGAGTCTTTCCCCGGAAGAGAAAACTATAAACCAACAACAACCACGATGCAAATCAAAAAACGATCCACTGCCGCTAAAGTTCTCCAACGATCATGGCGTTTGTACAAACTGAAAAAGGTTATTGGGCAAGCGTCGCAATCTTTCCGTAGCCAAAGTCGAGAAAATAGTCGCAGACCATCTATGGACCAATTTGAGTCTAGTTTCTCTTCCTATGGAAATACATTAACGGTTCCAGGTCAAGCAAATGCTTTAAACAATTGTGTGACGCCACCTACAATCGAAGAAGAGAAAAAACAACTAATTGAGACGGACAGTAAAAGTGAAGGGAAGTGTTATAAAATTGACGAGCAATTACATTACGAGCCGAAGATTGAGACTGTTGACGCAGTTGGTGATAATAAGCAAGAAAACGTGTGATTATTTATGCAAATACACTTTTTATACTCTCAAATTACAAATTTGGCAATAGTTATATAAAACGATACAGTATTGCTATATAGGCTATACAGTATAAGAATTGTATAAGTCTACATATTTATACCAACATGAAGGTGCATTACCATGATATATTTTTTACTTGAGTGGAACTAGTCCAGTACTTCCACATTGAAGTACGATACTAGAATCAAATAACATACACACACACACACCCACCCACACACACACACCTACAC